CCCCAAAACCCCAAAACCCCAAAACCCCAAAACCCCAATTTATGAAATATATTTCTAAATTTCAATGTTCTACACAAGAAATGGAAACGGTAAAGGTAAGTTTATTGAGAGTCATTGTGTAGTAAGGCTGAAGAGAGGGAATGAAAGAACGACCAAAATCACAAATAAAAAACTCTTCTGGTATAACAACTATACCATCCCAAGAGTCAAAACTATTATTGACATTAAATCTAAGCTGTATGAGCCTCCAAAGTTAATTAAGGAAAATCATTTAAAAAATATCGAGAAGTGTCCACCCAAAGGTATGCTTCAGTCAAGACTCGTTCCTTATATCATCTAGGCCCAGTCAGTGGTATCAAGAATTTAGACTCTATGCTTGACAAGGTATGTTCGATTCATAATTTCATAGAGACTAAAGCCTTTGAGAAATGTCTCGTGACCTAAATTAGTAACAGATATCATCAACAAGAAAGTAGAAGTCGATGAAAAGGGAGAATTAGTTCTTGATATTCAGCCAAGAATTCAAAAATTTATTAGTATTATTTTTTATAATTTTTAGAAAAACTCGAGAAATAAACTCAAAGATAATAAAAACTATGATTACATTATTAGTAAGAATGATACTTTTGGGAGAGATAAAAGGAAGTTGCTTGATGTGCTTGCTCTCTCTGATAAGTTAAACCCTAGCAGAGATCAAAGATACTCAAATCCGAATAGATTTCGATCTCTTGGGGCTTCCAGAAGACCTGCCAAAACAGCTGATCCACATAAGGACAAAAGAAATGAAGGTCCAGCTGAAGTTCCAATTGCTGATATGATAATGCAAAATATTGACCGTTTGAATATTGTTCCTGGACTTTGGAATAAGCTGTTAGCACAACATAGTCTGATCAATGAAGAGATCACTCAGACTCATGAAAATGAAACCCAAGGGCCTGATCTTTCAATAGCAAATTTAAAAAGAGAAAAGGATCGGATGAGATTTCATAGTTTAGCATCTGAATCTTCTCCTATCTCAAAGAAAAAAGCTTATTCTAGAAAATAGCTCAAGATCTTCTCTAATGAGTAGAGACAAGCTTTCCAAGAAAATACAGAGAGGGAAATGCCATTTTGCCAGCACCCAAAGATTTTATGAAGAGCAAAAGTAAGCACTTAACCAGCTTGTATTTACTACTTTCTTACATTATTCACCAACAATTTTACTATAGATCAAATATGAGATTATTTAAAGGCAATTCAGAACTAGCTAACATTAACTTCCAGATGAATAGCCTCAGATCCAAAAGAGAAGACCCTGAAGTCATCAAGGTTATGGAGAGAATTAATGAGAATATCAAAAACGTGCTTGCTCCTCCCTCAAAAAGAAAGATCATTAAAAAGAAAAAGAGTATCACTGATTATTCCTTCAGCAGTGGAGACCTATCATAATAATATTAAAATACCTTCTATTAATCTCTCTAATCTCGGGGTTTTGGGGTTTTGGGGTTTTGGGGTTTTGGGG